GATGCCACGTATCGCTGCACGTCGGTCAGCATTTCGGGCCAGTAATAATACCGCTGCAGCTGCTGCCGTGTTTTTTCTACTCCGAAATGGCCTGAGGTAACTCCGTCGTGTGCCTCTTGTAGCAGTAATTCCCGTAGTAACTTGTAGCTCAGTACCCAGATTCGGTCGTGCCGGCTTTTACATAATAAACTCCCTTTGTTGTTGCGAACTGCTGGGAATTTCCTCTTGTGAAGAATGGGTCAGTCTGATAGCCATGGGTAAATAGTCTTGTCAGTAGTGGGTTGGTCTGGGCGAGTAGTATGGCGTGGATTCGGGCCGTGGGGCGGGTTAGTGCGTTGGCGATGTTCGATGCCCCCTTTTTGGTATAGTGAAAATTTGGCTCGAAGAAGTCGAGCCAACGAATCTGTCGTGGGTTGAGGTCGGGTTGTGCGCGGAGGTACTAACCTCGCCATATCGGGGACGAACCGACGCACGTAATTAACGAACCCTAAAAAACTCTGCAGCTCGGTGATATTTCTCGAGGGGTGCCACGCTTTGACCGTGTCCAGCTTCTTTGGGGCGATCTCAACCCCAGCCTCTAAAATAACGTGCCCCAGAAACTCTAGCCTATCCTGAAAAAACTCGCACTTGGAACCCTTGGTCAGTAGCCTGTGCTCGTCTAAATTTTTAAAAACTGCTTCCAGATCTGCTAAGTGCTGCTGCTTGTCGTGACTGTAGACGAGGATGTCGTCGAGGTAAACTATCACGCATTTATCTAAGAGTGGCCGAAACGCCTCGTTCATGGTCATCTGGAATGTTGCCGGTGCGTTGGTCAGCCCGAAAGGCATCATAGTAAACTCAAATGACCCGTACCTAGTCCTAAATGCTGTCTTGGCGCAGTCCAATGGTTCGACCCGAATCTGATGGTAACCTCCCCGTAAATCGATTTTCGAAAAGACCCGTGTTGTTCGTTGTTGATCTATCAGTTCGTCGGCGCGGAGAATGGGGTATCGTGAATTGACTGTAACCCTGTTCAGTGCCCTTTGATCGATGCACATGCGAAAACCTCCGTCCTTTTTCGGTGTGAATAGTATTGGTGCGGCGAACGGTGACGAGCTCGGTCGGATGATTTTTTTTTCTAACAGGTAATGTAACACCTTCCTCAATTTGTCAAGCTCAGGCTGTGTCAGTCTGAACTATCGCTGTACGGTTGGCGTTGCCCCAGGTTCTAACTCTATTCTGTGATCGTATGCCCGCTGAGGTGGCAGTCCCTCCGGTAAGTCGTCGGGAAAAATCCTCGGGTACCATTTCAACGGTTCCTGTAGTTTGGGCGGTACCGCTGCCAGCAGTTTATGAAAATCACTCGGCTGCTCTGCTTCTTCTACCATAGCGATATCCACCGCGTACACGTCAGCTCCAGCGGCGACAGCCTGTTTCATTGTGATGGCGTTGACGTGGACCGTTGAAGACTCAGGCGACTGCCAGCGAGGTAGTTCAACCCAGTTACCGCTACTTTGCATGGTGCAGCTACCCGTCATCCAGTCGATTCGCGGGTTGTACCGTCGCAGCCAATCACGTCCCAGTAAAATGTCGTACCTGTCGGAATAGTGGCATAAGTGGTTAGGTTTAAGTGGGCCTAGGCTTAGTAGCCTAGGCCAAAGGGGGGTCGAGCTAGTTTGTGCCAAGGAGGGAGAGTCGAGAGATGAGAGGAGAATGAGGTGTTCACTATAGCACTTGGGTACATATAGCAAACAAAGAGGTGCACCACCTATAAAGTTAATATCTACACTACAGCTAGAACTACATGCAGGTATAAGAATATAATTCTGACAGTACCCATCCAATGTCGTCGCGAGCATTTCCTGTGTAAACCCGAAGTTCCCCCCGCAGCGGACTTTTACTCTCTCCACCTTATCCCGTATGGCCAGCGGGATTCCGTAAACTAAGCGTGCGTCTATCTCCGGTAAACACCGACTAAGTGCCAGTTGCAGCTTCCGTGCAGTCGCGGTATTAACTAAGCTATGACTTGCGCCTCCGTCTATAAAAATCTTCACTGCTGCTCCCTGTATTTTCCCGTGGATCAGTACTGGGCAATCCGCCGTTGTACCCTCCTTATTCATCTGAGCCCGATCAATAGCGTGAATCGGTATTGTGACTCGGTGAGGGTCGGTGAGGTTGGGCGAGCAGGTAGTCTCGTCAGTAGTTGGCCCAACTTCTACTGACTGCTGGCATTTCCCTGCCTCTGAGACTCCCTCCCCTGCTTTGTTCCGCGGCGCCTCAGCTCCTCTGGGCATTCGCTCTTGCGATGGCCCGGCCGATTGCAAACAAAGCAGCGCCCCTTAAACGGCGCGGAAGCTGCATTCGTCGCAACGGCGTGTATGGTGGCGTGCTCGATTGGTCCCCGAGGACGATGTCTGTAGTAGGACCCCGGTCTCGGACGGCGCAAAATGTCGCTTTTCTCGGCGAGCGCGAGGATCTCATTAAAATTCGAGAGCCCGCGTAGCATGATTTCGTGCGAGATGTCCGGCTTCAGCCCTCCGACGTAACGGTCCACCCGCTCCGCTTCATGCATGTAGCCGACTTGCTCGCATAATGCGAGAAAACCGCTCGTATAGTCTTGAACTAATCCGAGCTGCCGCCAAGTACGCAGTCTCTGACACGCCGAAATAGAAGCCGCGATCGGCTCGAAGCGCGCCCGAAGCCCTGCGCACCACGCATCCTACGTGCTGTACTGGGCTGTCTCACAAAATGAACTCCAGGTGTCGGCTGGGCCCGTGGGCCATTCCTCTTGCGACGGTGGCTCGTAGGCACGTGGTGACGCCACGATGACTCGCCACGAGTCCATGGCGGGGCCCCTCAGCAGCGAAACGGCGCAGCGAATCTTCGCTGCGTTCGACTCGACGTAATTCGCGTCGAAAAAAACGTTCATCGTGAAGACCCACGATTGAACCGTCAGACCTCCACGTTGGCTTGGATCGAAACAGGGCGGGCGCTGCGGCTTGAGTGGCATTGGTGCCATGATGTCGTGGTTGCCGCATGTTGCTGCAAACTCCACGTGCCGACGAGCTTCGCGAGGCTCACGCGGGCTTGGTGCGGCCCTATTTCTCTCCATGCTAGGCATTGAGTGAGTGGCGCCATTGCTGGCTACGCCTGAGCGTTGTCCCACGCTGTCGTTCTGTGTCGGTGTGCCTGATGAGATGACAATCGGCTCCTCCGATTGTGCAGGTGGATTTGTTGGTGCTGGTGCATTCACCGTCGATTGCTGGCGAGCGGAGTCGCGTTCCGCCGTGAGTGTCGCAATTTCGAGTGCCGAAACTTCGAGTTGGCGCACGAGACGGTCGAGCTGCTCCTGCGTCAATGTCGCGAGATTAATTTCAGCCATGGCGGGGGTGTCGGGCAAGCTCAGCGAGAGCCTCTGTCGTGGCCGTGCGTGCTCACGAGAGAGCACTTCGAGCGGCGGTGCTTGTTCCCTGAGAGACGTCTACCCCCCCCCCCCCCCCAAATTTGAGATAGTGGGGGAAGCGAAGGTGTGGGTGCGGTCCGAGAGGAGATCGTAGGCTCTGAATACCAAGTGTTACGAGTGCAATTGAGTGGGCGAGCGAGAATTTCACTATCGAAGCAAGAGTACAATGAGCGAAGGTATGAGCGAAGAATATATTGCGAAACTACAGTGGTAACGGTAATGTGTGGAAAATGGGGTGCACGACGGGCCTAGCGCCGAGGTTGGGAGTTGTCGAGGCGGAGGTCCGGAGCGCGGGTTACCAACCGAACCGTGAGGTTGGGTCGCGTCGTGATCAGAGGCGGGAACAGTGTCGAGGCGAGTGTCGCGAGTGGTAACGGATTACTGTTGGGTGCTGCTGGCGGGAAACAGTGGTGTACTCGCTGAGCAGGGACGCGAAGTAAGGAAAAGGAATTTTCCTTACACCTCGCTACAAACGAGGCTGTTCCCGCTCAACCAACCAACCCAATCCAACCACGGCGTTTCTCGTCCACACAAACATCCCTTGGCCGGCCCTGCACAAATCCCAAACCATCCCAGGGTAACTCACAGATTCGTGTAAATGGTTTGATGCGGTTCGATGTGTGTTTAAGGTGTTTCACGAGGTACAGTCACTCACCTCGTTCTTCTTGGAATCTTGTTTCTCCTCCTTCAGTCACGATCAGGAGTCGAGTCGAGACTAGAAGCTGAGGGATGTTGCTAGGCTTGTGGTTCTCTTGTATCTTGAATCTTGAAGAGTTGATTCCTAGATTTCCACAACTTGTCTTCGAAGGTTTACGTTTCGGCGTAAAGTTCTTGGCACAGGTTGAAGTTTTATTCCAGCGTCTAAACCTCACGGTTATTCCGACTTCGCGTGCGCTAACCGGCGTCATGCGATTTTCTGCGGGCTGTGCCTGTTAGTCGTCGCCGCGAGTACGATTTTTGGGGCGCCTCAAAGGTCGGGCTGTGCCTGCTAGTCGTCACCGCGAGAACAATGGTACAGCACGTGCATCCCGATTGCATAAACGCGAGCAACCCCTACCACGAGTGCACGGACTATTGCTTTCGGAAAATCGCCGAGCGGAAAGGCAGGCCTGGAGCGACAGCACCTGCGAAAGGCGAGGGTACGTCTCGTTGATTATTTTGCCGCTATTCTGTTCTTATCAAATTGCGTTTGATGTTGTTTTGTTGATCTGTGACGGATTTATTTTTTCCGCGAGCTCTTCTGCTGATTGGTTTCGTTAATTCGTTCTTGATTTGTGATTGGTTTTTCTGCGATTCTGTTTTTCGTCACTCAGCACCGTCGCAGCTCCCCACCTCCTTCGGCAGACAAGAGAAAGTCAGACGGAAATACGACGAGGTTGTCGTGGACGAACGGAAAGCGGCAGTTGGACCGGGAGAGGAGGACCTATCCGTGGTTGCAGCGCAGAGCACTCGGCAATCCCGAGGTCGACAAGCGCAGCGTCGAGATTCGCCAGATCGGACGGCCGAGAATGACCGACAGGCGGCGGCGGACGTGGTGGATGTGCCGAGCTACGAAGGGATGGACGCCCGGCAAAAGAAGATCTTTGAGATACGCCTCAAGTTGGTACGTCTGCTGAAGCTGCTACGTTCGCCCCGGCTGGTATGATTTTCAGGCTAGTAAGCTCGACTGGAGCAGTGTTGGATTGTTTGGTTGAATACTTCCAAATCTTGAGACGAGACGACTGTACGACTCAAGCGAGGCCTTCATTATCTTTCTGAACCATTTATCTCTTTCCGCTCCCCTCTCCCCCCCCTCCTTCCCCTTCGCCCTCCCCTCACACACCTCCCCCCCCTCTCTCTCCTCCCCTCCCCCCCCCAACCCCACTCTCATTTTCCCCCGCTCCCCCATTTTTCCCGGCCCTGCCACCCTCGCCCCCCCTCCTTCCGTAACCAATCCCTCCTTCCCCCCTCCACCGCAGAACCAAGCGCGGAAGGCGAATCAGACGGCGGTGGTGGCGGAGAAGCGGCGCGAGGATTAGCCCGAGGAGGAGGAGTCGCGCGGAGTGAGCAAGGCGGCGTGGTTCGAGGAGAAGAAGCGCAAGATGAGCAAGCAGCTGGATGCGGCCGGGCTGGATATCACCAAGGCGTTTCCCCTTCATGTCTTTACATCCTTTCCCTTGCCTCCCCCACCCCTCTCCTTCCCTTTTTCCCTGCATCCCCGCGCCCCCGCGGGCCTCCGGTCCCCCTTCCCCCTTTTCCCCCTTCTCCCCCCGCAGAACCAGGCGCGGAAGGCGAATCAGACGGCGGTGGTGGCGGAGAAGCGGCGCGAGGAGAAACCGGAGGAGGAGGAGTCGCGCGGAGTGAGCAAGGCGGCGTGGTTCGAGGAGAAGAAGCGCAAGATGAGCAAGCAGCTCGACGCGGCCGGGCTGGATATCACCAAGGCGTACATGCTGGAGACGCAGGAGGCGGCGGAGAGCAAGTATAAGAAATGGGAGAAGAAAGAGGCGCCCTTTGGCTGGGATGGTGCGTGCTGGGGTTGTGGTTGGGGGAAGGCGGAAAGGTGCTAATTGGGAAAGGTTGAGGTGAGGAGGGAAAGTGGGAGAATATTGAAATGGCTCTCTTTAGCATCTCAGTCAGTACAGGCTATCCTGCGCTTCAAATTTCTTAGTTCTGATTATTGTTTCCCCCCTTCCCCCCCCTCTTCCCTCTTCCCCTCTCCTCTTCTTTTCCTGGATTCTCTGCTGTGCTTGCCTCCCAGCGTTCAATCAGCAGGCACTGTACAACGCGTACAAGAAGCGCACAGGCAACATCCCTTACACAGAAGAAGACTACCTTAAAGCCAAGGAAAAAGACCCCGACTTTTACCGCGACGATGCGAGTCTCCAGTACGGGCAAGCTCCGGATATTCCCGAAGAGAACGTCGATAGGATGGTATCAGAGTTGACTGACAGAGCCAAGAGCCGCAAGGAGTTCAGCCGGCGGCGGCGGCACCATGATGAGAAGGACATTGATAGTATCAACGACCGGAACGAGCACTTCAACCGGAAGATTGAGCGCGCATTTGGCAAATACACGGTGGAGATTAAGAATAACCTGGAGCGGGGTACTGCGCTGCCTGATTAACCTGGTTCAGGTGAGGCATATGGGATTGGCGGAGTTTGTGGGATGGGGGAGAAGGGTTTTCGAGGATGAGGGAGGGATGTGGTGCAGTGCAGAATGGGGCTGGAGGGAATGGAAGGGGTAGGGATGGAATGGAGCAGGGGAGGGAGGGAAGGCCTGGTATCCACACCGGTGCTATTTCATTGATTCATTTCCCAGAGTCTTTGTTGTCACTGTCAACCCAGTCAATTCTGGGTTGGCGTGGCACATGTTTGTCTCAAAGCGCCATAGGCCGAGCGCCAGCCCATCCAGGCACCTGGGCAGCGTGGTATTCCACGAGACAAGGTATGGCATGCCACTGGCGTGTCAAATACGTGGCGCATCCCCGCGATGCGAGTGGCGCACAGCAATTCTCTGTTGTTTTTTCTACATTTTGACTGGAAGGGGCGTCTTAGCCGCCAAGCTGCCTGAGTCGTGGCAGCCTGGCTAGGGATTTTCCCCACACTCTTGTACTGTTTCTCTGTTCTACACCTACCTTCGTTTTTGCATTCGATTCCTCCTTTGCCCAACACCCCTCCCCCCCCTTCCCCCTTCCTCTTTCTCCCTCCTCTCTCCTCTCGCGCCCCTAAAATTGCTCTCATTTGTCAATGTGTCTTTACGTGCATATTTTCGGGTACAAATGTGGTTTGTGGTGCTCTTGTAAGGTGAATATTTCAGCTGCCCACTAGCTTGTTCCCCTCTCCACCTCATCATCACCCCCACTTGCCTGTTCTAATGAGATGCTCAACAGTTCCAATATTCGCAACACCAGGAAAGGTCTGATCTCGCTGAAGACTTGTTTCAGAAAGGATACTTCACTGACTTCGGCCAATGGGCTTGTCGGGTCTGATTACTGGTACTACTGCCAGCTCGCTGCTGGTCACTGTTGGTGGAGGGTACTGGTACCCTTCGTGATGCATTGGAGCCGCCGTGGGAACGGATTATGCTTTCAATGAGTATTCTTTTTCACTTGTCAATACTTGTGCATGCATGAATCTTGTACAGCCTCACTGCAGCTCTTTCGAAAGAGATTTAGTGCAAAATTATCGCACAGCTTCACAGCAGTACTTCATCCTGCTGAAGCACGTTATGTAGGGTACTAAATGGGTTTTAAAACAAAATCACTGGAAAGGATGTGCTGTGCCCCATTGTAGCCCAGCTCATTGTATTGCCAGGCGTGAACGGTGGAAAGACCATGTCTTTTCCTCCGCTTCAATTTGCAGAAGAGCAAATATACATCACCGTTTTACTGTACGACGCTATCGTGCAATATCTATACTCGTTGTTGGGTTTTTGGCGGACAAGGATCAGGACGCGGACACACACACCGATCCTCGTCTCATTTGGTTCAGCATTCACCTCGAATTTGAAGGCAGAAAAAGTTGTTCGTGTGGGAAACACTCCTTTCTCTTCTCACACAAACTCCGAGCTAACTTCAGCTGGTGTAGCTGACAATCTCGTCATCACGGAAGCCGGTGATTGTCTGCAATTGAAGCGCGTTTGACGATACAGAGACGAGCGTCGAGCGTTTGCGACTCAACCGGGGCCGCGACTGCTCATACCATTTCTCTATTTTACATTCGATTCCGAACCACGCGTTAGTAGTGGCAGCGGAACACTCGCATACTGAAGGAGGAGCGAGCGGTGACGCTGGACGTGAAATATAGAAAATCACGGACGAAAGAGAGAAGCGATTCGAGTGCGTAAAACGACGCGGAGATGAAGGATGAGGTCGCTCAACAGGAGAAGTCGAGCGACGTAACGAAGAAGGACGAAGAGATGGAGGATGCTGAGGAAACAGCTGCTGATGTCAAGGAAGTGAAAGCGAAGGAGGAGAAGGAGAAGGAAGATGAGGAGGATGAGGATCAGGTGGAAACGATTGGGGACGGCGATGATCCCGAGGGTGATTCTGAAGCCGGCGATGATCCCGAGGAGCTCGCGGTGATCGAGGCGGAGGAAGTGGAGGAGGGCGACGACGGCGAGCAAGCAGGCGACGACGAAATGAACGACGAGGAGGAGGAGGACGTTGAGCAAGCGGACGAGGACGACCCTCATAAAGACGAGCCGCACTTCAATGAAGTAGGAAGGAACTGCGTTTTTCTCGTATCATTGCTCCTCCGGCTAAGTCACTTCAAGCGAGTGGGGCCGCCGGACGACCTTCGTCCCTGCCAAGTCGACTTCTGAGTTGACTCAAAAGTCAACTCCTCCGGCTAAGTCAATTCAAGCGAGTGGGGCCGCCGGACCACCTTCGTCCCTTCCCTGTTCATCTGCTGTCCTTCCGTTGTTGCTTGCTTGATCCAAGACATTGTCTTCTTGAGTTGCTTGCTTGCTTGTGGAACGCAATTCATGGCTTAGTGGTTCCCCTCAACTCCATGTGCCCTCGGGCTGGTCGCATTGCAGCGGAAGGAGATAGCGAGGAAGGAGAGGGAGCGGCTGAGGGAGGTGAAGCAAAACTACGCACTTTTGGAGTTGTGGATTGTCATTCTTGGTTGATTGGTTTCCCTTCCCCTCCCCTCCATGTGCCCTCGGTCTGGTCGCATTGCAGCGGAAGGAGATAGCGAGGAAGGAGAGGGAGCGGCTGTGGGAGATGAAGCGGAACAAGAAGAAGGAGCTGGACGAGCTAATCAAGAAACAGAACGACGCAGTGCAGGCCGAAACGGTAAGCAAGGCACTATGTGGTTAACTTTAAACTAATAGGGTAACGTAACTTGAGGAGGGGGTTGGAGACGAACGGAGCAAGAGGAGGGAGCTGGAGGAGCTTGAGACAGAAGGACACAGTGCAGGCCGAAACAGTGAGCAAGGGACAACGGAGGCTCTTTGTACTGTTGATTTCAGAGTGACATGAGAAGGATAAGCTGAGGGGGTTGAAGAGGAGCACGAAGTTTCTGGGAAGGAAGCTTGAAGCTTCGTCACTCGGTTTTCTATTCCGTCTGTTCCTGGGCAGGCCGACAACGCCAAGGGGAGGCTCAAGTTCCTGCTGCAACAGACAGAGATATTCCAGCACTTTGCACAGCACAGCAGCACGACTCGCCTGTGAAGCGCAAGAGCAAGGGCAGAGGCAAGGAGACTCATCATCTCTGTTTCTTTCCTGGTTCTTGAACTTTGTCCCTGGGCAGGCCGACAACGCCAAGGGGAGGCTCAAGTTCCTGCTGCAACAGACAGAGATATTCCAACACTTTGCACAGCAGCACGACTCGCCTGTGAAGCCCAAGGGCAAGGGCCGAGGCAAGGGCAGGGGTCGAGGGAGCTCGAAGCTGACAGAGGAGGAGGAGGACGAGGAGTACCTCAAGGAGGAGGAAGAGGCATTGGGAGACGGAGGCAGCACCACCAGACTGCTTGTGCAGCCCTCCTGTAAGTTCTTTTTAGGTACCTCAGAGATGTTCCAGCAGTTTACGCGGGTCGTGTGAGCTGAAAGCTTACAGAGGAGGAGGAGGACGAGCAAGGAGTACCTCACGAGGAGTATTTGAAGGAGGAGGAAGAGGCGTACCTGAAGGAGGAGGAAGAGGCGTACCTGAAGGAGGAGGAAGAGGCGCTGGGAGACGGAGGCAGCACCACCAGACTGCTCGTGCAACCCTCTTGTATGTCCTTTCTTTTTAGGTGCCTCAAAGGTATTCCAGCAGTTTACGCGGGTCGAGGGAGCTGAAAGCTTACAGAGGAGGAGGAGCACGAGCAAGGAGTACCTCACGAGGGGTATTTGAAGGAGGAGGACGAGGAGTACCTCAAGGAGGAGGAAGAGGCGCTGGGAGACGGAGGCAGCACGACCAGACTGCTCGTGCAGCCCTCTTGTGAGCTCCCGCTTATTCGCCAGGTTCTAGTACCCTTAGCGTTCAAGTACCCTTCGCGTTCGAGTACCCTTTGCGTTCTAGTACCCTTCGTGTTCGAGTACCCTTCGCTGTGCGGTTTGTTTGAGCAAAATCATCTGTCTGCCAGTGGGAATGTTTTTATGAGATCCTGCTCAGTTTCTAGGTTGCGGTGGCTGGTTAGCTGCGAGCTTTACTGTACTTCTTTCTTGCTCTCACTGTACCTCTTACATCTTACATTTCTTGCATCACAAATATTCTGCCCCCCTCCCCTCCTCCTTCTGCCCCTTCCCGCCCTCCCCAGGCATCCAGGGCAAGATGAGGGACTATCAGCTTGCGGGTCTGCTTTTGAGTCGACTCAAAAGCTGCCCCCTCCCCACTTCCCGTCCCGCCCTCCCCAGGCATCCAGGGCAAGATGAGGGACTACCAGCTGGCGGGTCTCAATTGGATGATCCGGCTCTACGAGAATGGCATTAACGGGATTTTGGCCGACGAAATGGTGAGACATTTTTTTACTCGACTCTATTTTATGAGTGGACTTTTTCTAGTCGACTCAAGATGAGGGACTACCAGCTGGCGGGACTCAATTGGATGATCCGGCTGTACGAGAATGGAATCAACGGGATTTTGGCCGACGAAGTGGTGAGAGAATCTGCAAACGGTTTCGAGAGTCCAGAATTTCGAGTCCTGATTAAGTATCTTGCCTGTTCGAAGGAAGTGAATGGCCATGTATGTATAACAGGAATAAAAGCTTTTTTCACATGGCTCAGAACGCATGTAACTGGAGGAGGAGAGCATGTAACTGGAGGAGGAGAGCATGTAACTGGAGGAGGAGAGCATGTAACTGGAGGAGGAGAGCATGTAACTGGAGGAGGAGAGCATGTAACTGGAGGAGGAGAGCATGTAACTGGAGGAGGAGAGCATGTAACTGGAGGAGGAGAGCATGTAACTGGAGGAGGAGAGCATGTAACTGGAGGAGGAGAGCATGTAACTGGAGGAGGAGACCATGTAACTGGAGGAGGAGAGCATGTAACTGGAGGAGGAGAGCATGTAACTGGAGGAGGAGAGCATGTAACTGGAGGAGGAGACCATGTAACTGGAGGAGGAGACCATGTAACTGGAGGAGGAGAGCATGTAACTGGAGGAGGAGACCATGTAACTGGAGGAGGAGAGCATGTAACTGGAGGAGGAGAGCATGTAACTGGAGGAGGAGAGCATGTAACTGGAGGAGGAGAGCATGTAACTGGAGGAGGAGAGCATGTAACTGGAGGAGGAGAGCATGTAACTGGAGGAGGAGAGCATGTAACTGGAGGAGGAGAGCATGTACCTGGAGGAGGAGAGCATGTAACTGGAGGAGGAGAGCATGTAACTGGAGGAGGAGAGCATGTAACTGGAGGAGGAGACCATGTAACTGGAGGAGGAGACCATGTAACTGGAGGAGGAGACCATGTAACTGGAGGAGGAGACCATGTAACTGGAGGAGGAGACCATGTAACTGGAGGAGGAGAGCATGTAACTGGAGGAGGAGACCATGTAACTGGAGGAGGAGACCATGTAACTGGAGGAGGAGACCATGTAACTGGAGGAGGAGACCATGTAACTGGAGGAGGAGACCATGTAACTGGAGGAGGAGACCATGTAACTGGAGGAGGAGACCATGTAACTGGAGGAGGAGACCATGTAACTGGAGGAGGAGACCATGTAACTGGAGGAGGAGAGCATGTAACTGGAGGAGGAGAGCATGTAACTGGAGGAGGAGACCATGTAACTGGAGGAGGAGACCATGTAACTGGAGGAGGAGAGCATGTAACTGGAGGAGGAGACCATGTAACTGGAGGAGGAGACCATGTAACTGGAGGAGGAGACCATGTAACTGGAGGAGGAGACCATGTAACTGGAGGAGGAGAGCATGTAACTGGAGGAGGAGAGCATGTAACTGGAGGAGGAGACCATGTAACTGGAGGAGGAGAGCATGTAACTGGAGGAGGAGAGCATGTAACTGGAGGAGGAGAGCATGTAACTGGAGGAGGAGACCATGTAACTGGAGGAGGAGACCATGTAACTGGAGGAGGAGACCATGTAACTGGAGGAGGAGACCATGTAACTGGAGGAGGAGACCATGTAACTGGAGGAGGAGACCATGTAACTGGAGGAGGAGACCATGTAACTGGAGGAGGAGACCATGTAACTGGAGGAGGAGACCATGTAACTGGAGGAGGAGACCATGTAACTGGAGGAGGAGACCATGTAACTGGAGGAGGAGACCATGTAACTGGAGGAGGAGACCATGTAACTGGAGGAGGAGACCATGTAACTGGAGGAGGAGACCATGTAACTGGAGGAGGAGACCATGTAACTGGAGGAGGAGACCATGTAACTGGAGGAGGAGACCATGTAACTGGAGGAGGAGAGCATGTAACTGGAGGAGGAGAGCATGTAACTGGAGGAGGAGACCATGTAACTGGAGGAGGAGACCATGTAACTGGAGGAGGAGACCATGTAACTGGAGGAGGAGAGCATGTAACTGGAGGAGGAGAGCATGTAACTGGAGGAGGAGAGCATGTAACTGGAGGAGGAGAGCATGTAACTGGAGGAGGAGACCATGTAACTGGAGGAGGAGACCATGTAACTGGAGGAGGAGACCATGTAACTGGAGGAGGAGACCATGTAACTGGAGGAGGAGACCATGTAACTGGAGGAGGAGACCATGTAACTGGAGGAGGAGACCATGTAACTGGAGGAGGAGACCATGTAACTGGAGGAGGAGACCATGTAACTGGAGGAGGAGACCATGTAACTGGAGGAGGAGACCATGTAACTGGAGGAGGAGACCATGTAACTGGAGGAGGAGACCATGTAACTGGAGGAGGAGACCATGTAACTGGAGGAGGAGACCATGTAACTGGAGGAGGAGACCATGTAACTGGAGGAGGAGACCATGTAACTGGAGGAGGAGACCATGTAACTGGAGGAGGAGACCATGTAACTGGAGGAGGAGACCATGTAACTGGAGGAGGAGACCATGTAACTGGAGGAGGAGACCATGTAACTGGAGGAGGAGACCATGTAACTGGAGGAGGAGACCATGTAACTGGAGGAGGAGACCATGTAACTGGAGGAGGAGAGCATGTAACTGGAGGAGGAGAGCATGTAACTGGAGGAGGAGAGCATGTAACTGGAGGAGGAGAGCATGTAACTGGAGGAGGAGAGCATGTAACTGGAGGAGGAGAGCATGTAACTGGAGGAGGAGAGCATGTAACTGGAGGAGGAGAGCATGTAACTGGAGGAGGAGAGCATGTAACTGGAGGAGGAGAGCATGTAACTGGAGGAGGAGAGCATGTAACTGGAGGAGGAGAGCATGTAACTGGAGGAGGAGAGCATGTAACTGGAGGAGGAGACCATGTAACTGGAGGAGGAGACCATGTAACTGGAGGAGGAGACCATGTAACTGGAGGAGGAGACCATGTAACTGGAGGAGGAGACCATGTAACTGGAGGAGGAGACCATGTAACTGGAGGAGGAGACCATGTAACTGGAGGAGGAGACCATGTAACTGGAGGAGGAGACCATGTAACTGGAGGAGGAGACCATGTAACTGGAGGAGGAGACCATGTAACTGGAGGAGGAGACCATGTAACTGGAGGAGGAGACCATGTAACTGGAGGAGACCATGTAACTGGAGGAGGAGACCATGTAACTGGAGGAGGAGACCATGTAACTGGAGGAGGAGACCATGTAACTGGAGGAGGAGAGCATGTAACTGGAGGAGGAGAGCATGTAACTGGAGGAGGAGAGCATGTAACTGGAGGAGGAGACCATGTAACTGGAGGAGGAGACCATGTAACTGGAGGAGGAGACCATGTAACTGGAGGAGGAGAGCATGTAACTGGAGGAGGAGAGCATGTAACTGGAGGAGGAGACCATGTAACTGGAGGAGGAGACCATGTAACTGGAGGAGGAGAGCATGTAACTGGAGGAGGAGAGCATGTAACTGGAGGAGGAGACCATGTAACTGGAGGAGGAGACCATGTAACTGGAGGAGGAGACCATGTAACTGGAGGAGGAGACCATGTAACTGGAGGAGGAGAGCATGTAACTGGAGGAGGAGAGCATGTAACTGGAGGAGGAGAGCATGTAACTGGAGGAGGAGAGCATGTAACTGGAGGAGGAGAGCATGTAACTGGAGGAGGAGAGCATGTAACTGGAGGAGGAGAGCATGTAACTGGAGGAGGAGAGCATGTAACTGGAGGAGGAGAGCATGTAACTGGAGGAGGAGAGCATGTAACTGGAGGAGGAGAGCATGTAACTGGAGGAGGAGAGCATGTAACTGGAGGAGGAGAGCATGTAACTGGAGGAGGAGAGCATGTAACTGGAGGAGGAGAGCATGTAACTGGAGGAGGAGAGCATGTAACTGGAGGAGGAGAGCATGTAACTGGAGGAGGAGAGCATGTAACTGGAGGAGGAGAGCATGTAACTGGAGGAGGAGAGCATGTAACTGGAGGAGGAGAGCATGTAACTGGAGGAGGAGAGCATGTAACTGGAGGAGGAGAGCATGTAACTGGAGGAGGAGAGCATGTAACTGGAGGAGGAGACCATGTAACTGGAGGAGGAGACCATGTAACTGGAGGAGGAGACCATGTAACTGGAGGAGGAGACCATGTAACTGGAGGAGGAGACCATGTAACTGGAGGAGGAGACCATGTAACTGGAGGAGGAGACCATGTAACTGGAGGAGGAGACCATGTAACTGGAGGAGGAGACCATGTAACTGGAGGAGGAGACCATGTAACTGGAGGAGGAGACCATGTAACTGGAGGAGGAGACCATGTAACTGGAGGAGGAGACCATGTAACTGGAGGAGGAGACCATGTAACTGGAGGAGGAGACCATGTAACTGGAGGAGGAGACCATGTAACTGGAGGAGGAGACCATGTAACTGGAGGAGGAGACCATGTAACTGGAGGAGGAGACCATGTAACTGGAGGAGGAGACCATGTAACTGGAGGAGGAGAGCATGTAACTGGAGGAGGAGACCATGTAACTGGAGGAGGAGACCATGTAACTGGAGGAGGAGACCATGTAACTGGAGGAGGAGACCATGTAACTGGAGGAGGAGACCATGTAACTGGAGGAGGAGACCATGTAACTGGAGGAGGAGACCATGTAACTGGAGGAGGAGACCATGTAACTGGAGGAGGAGACCATGTAACTGGAGGAGGAGACCATGTAACTGGAGGAGGAGACCATGTAACTGGAGGAGGAGACCATGTAACTGGAGGAGGAGACCATGTAACTGGAGGAGGAGACCATGTAACTGGAGGAGGAGACCATGTAACTGGAGGAGGAGACCATGTAACTGGAGGAGGAGACCATGTAACTGGAGGAGGAGACCATGTAACTGGAGGAGGAGACCATGTAACTGGAGGAGGAGACCATGTAACTGGAGGAGGAGACCATGTAACTGGAGGAGGAGACCATGTAACTGGAGGAGGAGACCAT